AAAAGACCCTGCTGTAGATGCCCATGAATAGCATAGTCGTACATTTTATAGATATCACGGCAGAAGTGAGTTATCTATGATGCTAAATAGAGGCAACACCAACTAACTCCATTAAATGGCAGGTCTAGTGTGTTTTTATAGCACTGATGGTTCTGTTTTATTTATCACCTACTAAACCACAACATTCACATCTGGTTTTCCTCAAGGGCACAGTATTTGCTTTTGGTTGAAGGACAGTTTATTCGGTATGGTCCAGAATATTGTTATTTCTTGGGTTAAATTTTAGATGGGTTGCCTGCATGGTGATAAAATAAGCATTTTCTTCTTGCCTACATCCTGTGGGAGGTTTCCTGATAAATATATAAACTCTTAACGTAAAGCTTAGTCTTGCTGTTAGAATCTGGCATGCAGCTCCAGACCGTTTCTATGAGCATTCATCAGACTGAAGGTGTGTGTGATGGGATGGCGCTAAGACCAGGGCAGTGGCTCAAGCTGAAAGCGAAGCTCTCACGGATTAGAATGAAAGTCTCTCTGCACTGCATGCTCAGCCATGAGGGAAGGAGAATGAAAATCCTTCTCTCCACAATGGACAATGCAGTTTGAAGGAAGCTGTGTCCCCAGATCAGCAACCGTGGCATCCATCTGCTCAAATGAGAGAACTCCTGGACTTCCTTGATCTGCTGCAGGTTTCACAGCTTCAGAGAAGCGACTAATAAGAAAGAGTGTCATGGCCAGGCTTTGTGCTGGAAATGATCAGCAATTACACTGAGCCCCAACCCCACTAGAACATGGGATCCAGAAGCCTGGCCAAGCTATGTATTATCTCACTTTCATCCTCACCCTCAAGACTGGCTTTGTTGAGGAGACGCTGCTGGGATTCTAGGAGTTTTCTGTTACAACTGGCCACACATGCAAGCTGATTATCTCTGCATGCACTGTTCCTCACAGAAGCTAGAATTTAATTAGTATTTGTTTTGGATTCATTTAAGGTGTCAGCTTAATGTCCTAATTATTTTTGGAAAGGTCCACGTTACGAAACATCTTATTTTTTGAGCCTGCAATGTTGATACCTCGTGTGGTGACCACCAAGTAACTATAAACCCATGTGTTAGATATTATGACATCATTTGCATCCCACTCAGTATTTGGAATCAGAGGTGTGGCCAGAGCCAGGTTGAGTACGAATCCTGAAAAATCTGGTCACCTGATCCACCACATCTGGATTGAGTGTATATTAACAGAGAAAGAAATTAAACAATTTTACATAAAAAGAACAGCCTTCTATTTTTCCTTTGTTCTTTTACCTTCACCCATGGCACCCGTAGGTGCTGCATGCTGCCTCCCTTGGAGCCACAGGATGAGAGAAGCTACTGACCTCTGCTCCCGACCTCCCTCATCCATCAGTGGAATTATCAGTGTTCAGAACAATTGAAGCATACATAGGTGGCATCACCAAGTGCAGCACGGGATAGGCAGTGTTCAGATCAGACTACTTAGAAACTGAAAATCAGGTGTTATCTCAGTTCCTTAACGGCTGTGTCCCCAGAGGCCCATATTTAGGAAAGCCTCGGTTTAAAAATACAGTACATGGTTCATTTGGCTCTCCAGAGCCCACATGGTCATAACATCTTTCATTTGGAGAAAGATTGAGATGAGATTCAATTCAGCAAAGATGGAGAACTTACTGTGTCAGTCAGAACTTACTATGACCTAGGATGGGGGTCAGGGAGCAAGAAAGACCCCAAACCAAGGCTCCTGGAGCTCACATCTAACTTCAGACAATGCTCCCCAGTGGGATGAATGTCAGAGGGAGACCAGAGAAAACTTGGGAAGCTTATTACAAAGAATTTAACCCCGGATGAGGGATTAGAGCAACACTCTTCTCCCATTTCCACGAAAAGCACCACCACCCATCCAAGTATAAAAGTCAACCCAGGAAACTGTGTGATGGACATGATTTGGGGTCCCCCAGCCAACCACGCCTAATCATGCTCTTGGGTAGTCCCCTTTCTCATCTAGGTTGGCCTTTGATCTTTAACCAGTAGATGTGGCAAAACTAGCAGCTTCCATTTTTGTACTTAAAGGAAACCAGCTGCCATGTAAGTTCAACCACCCTGAGACCACCAAGTTAACCACAGAAAGAAGCCAAGCAGAGGTGAACTAACCAACTGAGCTGGCAGCAAGAACTGACAACTGGACATATAATCCAAGCCAAACTGTTTAGGCCCCCCCGCAGCCAAAGGGCAGAGCAAAAATTAGCCGCTCCACCAAGCCCTGTTCAAACCTCAGAAGGAAGCAAATAGTTAAATGGTTGCTGTTTTAAGCCATTAACATTTTGTGGTAGTTTGCAGCAGTAGACAGAACACCTCGGCTCCCTTTTGTCCATATCCATCATAAGTCCTATCAATTTTACCTCCAGGGCACCTAAACCCATCTGCTCTCTCCATCTCTGACGTTGACTCCCAAGCTACCATCTGCTTTCTCTGGTAAAAACCATTGCCACAGCCTCCTGAGTATAAGATGTCTCAGTGCATCTATTCAGGGGCCCTCCAATCTGTACACCTTGCTGCAACCAGGCAGATCTTT